TCAACAATAAATCATTGTAACTAGCGAATTGTTGACCAAAAACAAGTTCTGTTGGGTGATTTAAATAGCCAAAACGGATTTTGTTTGTCGATAAGCGAATGAGGCAGGGGGGTGGGGGATGCAGTAGGACCGCGAGAAGGCGAGAAGCGCTGAAACGCATAAATATCACACTACGTGTTTAGAGTAACATTTCCCACTGTGCACTACAATTTTTTAAAACTTCGCGGTGTGTTCCGAGATCGAATGGAGAGTTCTATAAAGGTCAATTGTTTGTTATCTTTTTTTATTTTGTTATTTTTCTTCACAGCGAGAGGATAAAGTGGCATAATCCTAAATCGATCGCCTTCAACAAACCATACAGAGAAGGGTCCACCAAGTCGGAAGTCGAAGAAGAGTTGATATATCTGGGCAAAAGGCAAGCTGGCCTCCTAAGGGTGCGAGAAAATGAACGTTTCGCAGCGAAGAGTAGCTCAGCAGCCTAGCAAGGCCATGTCCGCGCCAGTCGCGCCGCTCTCCGCCCAATCTCTCGCCGTCTGACTCTAGCCTTTAGCAGAAGAGCGTTATCGTCGAGGAAGAAGCATCGATGAAAGTCGCATCATTGCGACAACCGTTTCTCATGGTTTTTCCTTCATTTCGGCACAATTGACCACCTCTACCTTAATTTTAATGGGCGGTGCTAATCGTAAAACCCGTCTTCAAAATCGGATTTCACGATGAAATGGTGACTTATTGGTAATAAGGGTAGAGGTGGGATGAAGTAAAAACCAAGCGAAACAGCCCGAGAAATGGAATGCCTTCCTTGCCCATTGGTTTCTGCATTGATACGACTCTCAAAACCCTTCAAAACTAACGCTCTCTCTGCTATGTCGGTGGGCGTTCCGGGCCAACTGCGCCCAAGAGAAGGCCATGCCAGATCGCCGGAGCATATCCTTCGATGCGAATTGCGTGTTGGTCCGCACCCTTAGGGGTCCGCCTGTCTCCCCACTAAATAAGTTTCCATTTCTTCGATCTTCGTTCTTATCGTGGAGTAGTCCTTTAGGTTTAATAGCAAGTGACCAATCTTTTTTGGTATCGATATTCCTAGTATGGTGATCACATCCTTTATATATTTTTCGACTCGAGCGCCAGAGGCATGAAACCTTGGCCTTTTTTCGATCGTTTTATAGAGTAGACGTTCAAATGCTGTTTTGGAGGTACCTTCACATAAGGTGGAGCCGGCCATGGAATTATGAATCCAATTGAGATTATGAATCGTATACACATATTTCGCACACGTGAACCAAATATGTAGTCGACAAGATCACCCTGAATAGAAGTAAACACTAAAAGAGCATTACAGAATGCAAAAATGTAATTATTTAACCTATTTCGCGCTCGCGCGGGATTTACCAAGGGTGCGCAATATCAAGAGGAGTCAGGAGATTTTTCTTCAATAAAATTTGAGTGGATGGAGATTTCCCTGCCCAGGGCTGGCGTAGATGAACGAGGGTATGAAGATTCTTTTCAGGAAAGAAAACTTCCCAAATTCCATTTGAAACCCGGCAGCCACCGGTGGATGCTATTGTCCTGAGTGAGATCTCTGTCAGCCATCGGTGGATGCCATTGTCCCAAGTCAGGACCTTCGTGGCAGCCACCGGTGACTGCCATTGTCACGAATGGTTTAATTAGACCTGGAAGTTGCTTTTGTATCTCTCACTTTTGGGCAGAGGTGAGCGTTCAAAGCGATTTTTGGATTGCAATTTGGAAATCGTGATGCAACTATCCATAGCTCAGGGGCTCAAATCCGGTATACATGGCAGGGAATGGAAACTTTGAGGTCTATATATCCGACAACGGGTCCCTTCTAGAAGGTTCTTTACAATATCTCCCACTTCTGCGACCACTCCATGTTAATCTACAGTCAAATCGCAAGCCTTCCCTGTTCCCGAAAACTTCCTCTAGGGACGTGGATATGTTTGCAAAATTTTTAAAAGTCTTCATCTTTTTTTAGCACCTTTCCCCTTTCACATGAACGAGAATTTCTTCTCTTCCACTCTTCCAAACTTCTAGCTGAATCCAGAATTTTCAAACTCACCAGGACGACCAGTTCATTGCACATCCCCATGAATTAAGCGGACCAGGAGGGCGATTAGGACAGAGTTGCAGTTCTTTGCGATACTTCTTTTTTTCAGAAAAATTTATTTGCAGCGGAAAAAAATGGAAATTTGCAAACTGATTTTACTCAAAATTAGAAATAGTGAGGGGACTACGTCGTTTCCGTCTTAGTACAAATACCGCTTGTGAGTATCACAAAAATTTTCGAAGTGTGAATAGGTCGCATTGATCAAATTCGTTTTGGGTCTGCGCATTCCACTTCCGTACAAAATCGTAATGGCAGTTTGAATGCGATGGGGCTATACAATGACTTGCGGTGGCCAGCCGATGTACTAGTGTGTTTCTTTCTATCCTCCAGGGCAATTCCAGTACCATACGTCGTCGAGCGCCAACTAAACCTTCCGCCTCCCGGGATGTCGCGGTCAATTGGAGGATTTGATCCCCGGATCGCATGTGTGGTATGTGGCGTCATTGGCCTACTCCACTTCCGCCCTTAGGTTCCCTCCTCATAACCATCATGCAATTAGAATTCAAAAAGGCAAAAGCATGTTTCACGGTCCAGAAATCCAGGGAGATAAGAAAAGTGACCATTTTTCCACGGTCGAATTTTGTCGTGCCCACAAACTTTGGTGTAGAATTGCGTTGAGGAAGAAAATTCAAGGAAGCTGCCCCTTCGCTGGGGTCTTAGGCAGTCTTTTGATGGTCCTCAGTTCCAAGAATTCATCTAAATTCTACTCATTCTTGAATAAAATTTGTACTTTCCTAGTGTTTTATCAGATCTAACACTTGTAATCAAACTGAAGCGCTATCGCAAGAAAGGGGGCATTGCGATAGCAAGGCATTATAACCGCTTGGAACATCTCCATTTTGTTATAAACGGGACCAAGCTTGAGCGGGGAAGACAGACTCCAGGGTGCGTGAGCAATTGTCATTTCCCCGACGTTCGTGGCCCCTGCAAGGTTTAGTTTTGAAGGGTGCCCCTGTGTCTTGCGATAGCGCCCAAAACTATTTTTTATATTGTCAATAAATCATTCACCTACCGGATACTCGTACGTAACACGTAGTAAAATTTCTAACATTTGTAGTTTATATCTGTCGGCGATATCATTAGGCAGTGGAATATAGAGCAGAAAAAATGCTGTCAGGAAAAATAGAAACACAGTAAACCAGTACAGCAATAACCACATCATTTGGGGTACCTAGAAAAAAGAATGGAATGTTCAAAATTATGAGTTGCTCGAGAATAAGGCATAGCGACAGCAAAAATAAAAAAGAATGGTTGGATGATTGGGAATGAAATTCATACTTCGAAATATTTTCGATCGATCACTGATAGGTTAATTCAATCTCTATTTCCCATCCTGTTTTTAATCACCAGTGTAAAGCGTGCAGAAGAGCGTTAGAAGAAAACGTTCGATGAGTTCAAAGTAACAATTGAGTATTTCACAGAGTTACGAAATGGCGATTGATTTCAATAGAAAATGAAACCCTAGAAAAGGGTCCAATCGTGGGGGGGGGAATAGATGGCCTGATGGTTGCGGTCACATGGCCTCTAGCACTAGAGGCAATATTGTCGACTTCTCAAAGTTCGAAGAATCAAGTGGATTGGGAAATGAGGCGCTTTTATAGTTGGGACCCGGTCGTCGCAGCGCCGCACGGCTTGTCTGCGCCCTCTCGGCGAGATAGTGGAAACTTGCAAGTTCTGAGTTTATACGCACGTCAAGTGTCTCGTCCCACTTCGCACATCCTGAACCGGCAATATTGCTCCCTTGCTCACGGACTAGTGCTACCAATATCGGACGCAAACAAGTCATGCGGCGCTGGCTCCATTCAACTACAGGATCACCAAATAAAGAAAGGGAGCAGAGAACGGCAGAGGGAAAGTCAAGTACGTTGCCGCGACGTGCACCGTGATCAAAAACCGTCTTCCTTACCTTGACTGAGATATCGACCAATGCATGACTGAGTTATAGCATACACAGGGATTTAAGGGGGGGGGGGGTGGTCCCGCTGTTGAGGAAGTTTCATGCCAAAAGATTCCTTAGATGTCCCCCCCCCCACCCCATAAGCAGAAGCAGCCTTCTTCCACTGCCTTCACCGTGCTGACTCCGAAGTAACAATCAGTACTTCACAGAGCTAATGAGTTCGTGACTGATTGGTGTCAGCTGTCATCACCGACGAGCTCAGGGAGGCCTACCGTAATCACTACAGCCTAAAACTACTACATGATTCCTTCAATCGGTTTTTCATGGTTAACTTTCCAAAGACAGTAACATTGACTGCGCAGAGCCCCTCCGACCAGCGTTTAGGATAGGGTAGTAAGCCCAGGGTCCGTCGAGAGACTTGGTGAGTTGGAAACCGTGCACCTCGTTCCCGTGAGAACATCTCCAGTTGCCGTCGTGAGTAGAAGGCTGTTATGAAGTTGAAAAGGTTGATATTGACTTCAATTTTACAGTTGGGATCATTCGGCTCGAATTTATAGTGTAATCAGTTCCACTTGAATGAGGAGAGAGACGACTCCATTTTCCTGTATACAGGTGCGTTCAACTTCATTTGCCATTTTTCCGCTTCACCAAGAATTGTTTGAGGAACACTGAAGCAAGCTATCTAATCAAAGTGTTTCCCACGATTTTTTCCTGTCCTTTCTAAAACTGACTACATCGTCACGATATTACGATTTCAGTTTTGAAGTAATCAATTCCTATTTTTGAACCTGCTCAACCTCCTCAAAAATACGCACTATGTTGTATCGAGCAAATTTGATCTGCGGAATCAAAAGCACAATCGAGCTTGATTGACCTAGGTATTTCTGTTGAAATCATTAAGCAAGGGGTGCAATGAGGAACATTAGTGAGGAGAAAAAGCAAAAAGCACCATAGAAAACACTAAATTTCCCTTAGGAGGCCGGCCGTAGTATGACGGAGAGACACAGCGCTGCGAGGAGAGGGAGAACACGAGATAGTACGTCGTACGCGAGAGGCGCAGAGACCACGTATGCCGTGGTTGATAAGGATGGCAGCACCGCAGCACACAAGGCAAGGCCTTAGCGCCTGTGCCTCGCACTTTTGAGCCGCGACCATTGTCGTGCCTCATGCCCTTGGGGACCACTCTTTCTCGTTAGAGGGGACTGGCTCTTGGTGATCTGATCCTGACGGTGCTTTCAAATGAGGTATATCCCGCCGGATACGCTGAGGGGAGGGATTTTCCATTCAAGCAAGCACAAGTGTTTCCTTCCGTTTTCTTAAGTTGCCTCTCGCGACGAGCCGAGACCCTCCGAAGATCAACTGCGCCTACTATCGGCCTTTTGACATCATCAAGTGCCTGTGAGGGCAGTCCGGGGTTTTTCTGCAGGTGACACCGAAATCACCACTTCTAATTTGAAAATTACAGTGAATTAAATTAAATTAAATTGAAATCGGCTTATAGTAATATCTATAGATAGGATGCGACAGTTTGGTCATAATTAGCTTCCAAAAAAGTCTTTATTGACTAATTTTCTTCAGAATGGCCAGCAGAAGAAGTGATGGTCGAAAAGTGAAAATTCGAAAGCATAACTTCCAACGTGTCTAAACGATGAGTAAATCGAGAGCAATGGCAAGGAGATTTAGATGCTGTAGAGCAAAGGCAACGCTTTGAAATACGACAGTTTCCAGCAAATTTTATACTTGTTACGAGTCATTTATTATCAATCAATACTGCTGACCAGAGCTAGTAGACCCTAGAATCCTCTCAGCTCTTCTCTGTGAATTGAAAGTCATAGCAACAATAATGCGGCTCTGATATAGCAACCTCTCAAAGCGATGCATACTGCGATAACGTGTACCCGCAAGCAAATAGTGACGTGACTTTGGGACAAATGAGGTCTTCACATGACCCCTCGCCCATCATTTCATTCATGTTGTTTGATAGGTATGTGTAGAAACAAGGCATTACGACAGTTGTCGAAGTGTGCATGCCCATTCTTCGTCATGGGAGCGAGACGGGCATGGGACAGGGCAGGGACAAGCGCCACGTTCCTCTCGCTTCCAAATATTGCGACCGCTTCCCCTCTTTAAAGTTCTTCGCAGAAAAATCTTGCATTCTTTCCCAATACGCATATGTCAGTTGTGATCACTAGAGGCATGCCCCGCCCATGGCTGCGCGCCTTTTACCTTCGATTTTCCATAGAGTGCAGTTTTTGTAAGTTTGTTTCTCTTTGGGAACTGGGTCTTTGGTGGTGAGTTTTCTATATGTTGCCTCTAGTGATCACAACTGACATATGCGTATTGGGAAAGAATGCAAGATTTTTCTGCGGAGAACTTTAAAGAGGGGAAGCGGTCGCAATATTTGGCAGTGAGAGGAACG